TAATATTCTCATGTAGGCCTAGACACATTACCCATACCTTAAACCCAAACCCGACTCAAAATAAGGAGTTCGGTCCGGGTACGGATTCTCTTAAATACCCGATCGGTTTATATTTTTCATCTTCGATTACCCGTACCCGATCGGGTAATACCCGATATCCGAAGCAAACCCGAACATCTATAAGCATCCCTTAGAAGTGAATTTGACATTGTTTATGGCTTGCTAGATGACTGATTATTACTCTACTATATTATGACAGTGTTTATGGCTTCATGTGGAGTTTGTTGCTAGTTGCTAGATGTTGTGTTTCTTGAAAATAGTTGATGGCTTCTTCTTTACTCTTTAGTAACTAGTTTAAAGTTTCTATGTTTGTCTGATATTTGTAATGTTTTTGTTTCTATGTTTACTAGATGTCGAGTTTCTATGTTAATGGCTTCCTCTCTGTCGTTGTAATGTTTATCTTTATTAGACATAGTTTGTCTGATCATTATTCTTAATTTCTCGGTAATGTTTCTTTGTATGTTTGATACTTTGAATCTCTACTCACTAGTTTCTACTCTATAATGTTATCCGAGAGAAAGCAAGTATAATAATCAATTGATCATATGCTTCTTATTTGCAGATGGATTCAACACCGGTACCAACTGAAGATAACAGAGATTTTGATGACGAAGAAGAGTTTATGACTCCTGATTCGGGTCAAAGGGGTAAAAGAAAGCACATCTGAAACTAGAGCTTCGTCTGAACAAAATAAGCCTAAAAAGATACTTCCCCCAAGATCAGATGTATGGAGTCATTTCACAAGACAAGAGACCATCCGTGACAAATGTAACTGTCACTATTGCAAGAAGGAGTTATCATGTCCCAACAAAGTCAGAGACTAAAAACTTGTGGAATCATCTTGACATATGTAAGCAATACAAAGCATGGAAGATGGTCAAGATCCGAAGATGAGTCAACATGTTTTCAACAATGAAGGAAATCTTCAAAATGCAATAGTTAATGAGAGTGTTTTCAGAGAAGCAGTGAATGAGATGTTTGTGATATGAGAGTTACCACTATCTTGAAAGTATGGCTTGGATAGTCGAAAAATGCGCGAACTTTCAAATTTGGGACGAAAAAAACATGAACTTTGAAAATGTCATTTTAATCATAAAGTTTAGGTTGATTTTTTGACAAAATAGTGAAGTTTAGTTTGACTTGGCCATTTCGGGCATGCCGTTAAATTTCCGTTAACCAGACGATGACGGTGTTAAATTTTCGTTAGAACTCTCCGTTGAATCAAAACGACGTCGTTTTGAACTCTGAAACGACGCCGTTTCATTTGAAAATAAGATGGAAAAACAACATCCATCGAGAATCGAACAGCTAACCTACTGGACTAATGAGAGGTGCTCAACCATTGCGCTACTATAACATTTTGGTATTGTACCAAACCAAATATACATATACTAACAAATAACTATGTACAATTAATTAAAACTATATACAATTAATTAACAATAACAAAACAAAAAAAATAACCAAATATATACAAATATTAAATATACTTACCATAAATATATATTTTGAAATTTTAAATATTTAATTTTATATATAAAATTTGCTTCTATATTTGGAAAAAATTGTTTCCTAAATTATAAAAAAACAAAACTGAAACTTATAGAATATAGTAAATTAAATATATGACATAAAATTTATACAATCCTTCTCACATAAATATAAAATTTATACAATCCTTCTCCATAGATGCAGTTTTTCCATCTTATTTTCTAATGAAACGACGTCGTTTCAGAGTTTCAAAACGACGTCGTTTAGACTCGACGGAGAGTTCTAACGGAAATTTAACACCATGATCGTCTGGTTAACGGAAATTTAACGGCATGCCCGAAATAGCCAAGTCAAACTAAACTTCACTATTTTGTCAAAAAGTCAACCTAAACTTTATGATTTAAATGACATTTCGAAAGTTTATGCTTTTTTCGTCCCAAATTTGAAAGTTCGCGCATTTTTCGAAATTTTTCCCGTTTTTGAACTCTTTAATATTTTGGTCATTTGGTGTTTTGTTGGATACAGAATTTGGTTCTGTCTTACACTTCTACTTTCTCTCTTAGACTAGTTCAAAGACTTTTAAATGTTTTTTGCTTTGTCCTTAGTTCATTTCATTGGTTATACAATTTCTACTTCTTCGTATGAGTTCGGGTTTTTTTACAGTTTCATATTGATTTCGGGTAATTAATTTCTTATGTTTTGGGTACATATGAGCAAAACCGAACCCGAACTCAAAGCATATTTCGGGTTTCGGATGACAACCACACCCGATCCGAACCTGATGGGTGTTTATCCGAATCCGATTCGAAGTCTATAAATATATGAACGGGTCCTTACCTCTACACCCGAAAACCTGAAAAACCCGAACTGAACCCGAATGGGTACCCAAATGCACATGCCTATTCTCATGGTTAGTTTGAGAAATAGAAGAAAATGTAAAAGGAAAAGAAACAATACTTACCTTGGGGTTGGGCAGCCATCTTACCATAATTGATACACTTGTACTCTTGTTGCAACATTGACATGAAACACTATATAATCACTAAGCACTGAATCCACTTCCTTCTCCCATAAAATCGTAGAAATTTGAGTTCTCCTCCATAGCGTTGTCGTTGTACTCCGTTCTTTCGACCTATGTCACATGAGACTTGACTCCTTCCAATTTTTTCACCAGTAAACCGGAAGGGTATCTTTGGGCGTTGTCTCCTTCATGGACGACACTAACGTCAACCACCGCCGTAAGATCGAAGTCCACTTGCTTGCAGATTCAGATGAAGGTGACCTCCCTCGTTGGAATAAATGGTGATAGCAGGTGAAAGAGATCTTCAATCTGGAAAACATGATACATAACCAAAAGGTTCATGCCGGCCGAATTGCACTAATAGCCAAATCAATTTTAAAACATACTCCATTCGTGCAACATAAGAACAATTTAATTTGGAGAATATCGGTGAAGTGTGAATAAAAGAAATAATTAATAACAGTAAATAGAAATATGAACTAGTAAAGATGTGATGAGTTTATCTCTTATCATAAATGTAAGGTGTGGGGGTAGAAGCCATGAAATTTTATTGAATTCATGTTCCTCCATTCTTTGGGGCATCTCCATTGAAGCAAACATCCTCGTAATGTAATCTCATGATTAGTTTAGTGTTGAGTCTACACCTTTTATTTTTTGTTATCAAAATACTAGAATATGGGGTTCCAACTCAAAATCAATCGGCAATGAGTGGAGTAGTCCATATATCTTATATTATATACTAGTCAAAATTCCTTATATTTTCCAATATGGGATAATAATATATCTAATACAAAGATGTTTTGTATTTTAGAGTAGAAAACTTTCTTCTACTAAACATTAGAAATAATAATTATTCTAGTTTTCTCAAGTTATTTTTCTTCTTCATGCCTAAGAGTCACAACCTAAGAGTGAAAGTAAGAAATCAAGTCCAGTACAATCGAAAACTAAATTTAATTTTCGTATGTATTTAATTTCTATCAATTAAAATTTGTAATAACTCTAACAAAATTAAGATTTTCGATGATAAAATCAACGATCAAGATTTGATGTTGTAAACCCGATTAACACACCCTTATTCTTTTCGACCTGCGATTTATCTGAACTATAGTAGCAATTAAATTACATTTTCATCCTTAATGAGAAATGTTCATTTGGTCTAAAGGCTAATGATATTTGAATGTAATTTCTTACAAAAGAAAGTGTAAAAACTTATGAGTACTTCTCGATTAATAGTAGTATAGGATTTGATTAAATATGATTCCTATTAAAAATTGGGGAAAATGTCATTTAAATCATCAGTTTACCATTTTTGTTGGTTTAAAGCATCAACTCTGGACCTAGTGATTTAAATCCTCAGTTGTATGTTGACTTTCAATTTAATCTCTAATTTTCGTTGACAAAGCCAATTGAGGCACATCGTTAACTGGCCAAACGGAACAATCAGACGTTGTTATGTGTCTGTTTAATATGTATGTTAATTATTGAAACGACGTCGTTTTCAATCAAAGAAATCCCCAAATTCAAACTCGAACCCTAGATATACGATATCAAAATTAGAAATACAAAATCAATAATTCTCTCTCGTTTTCTTCTCTAACCCTCTCGATTTCTTCTCAAATCCCGATCTCATCTTAATTCCTCAAGATTTGTTCTTTCGATTCTGATGAGTTCTAGCTCCGAGACATCAACAGTACTCGGTGACCGTGGAGTGCCGTCAAAGTGTGTGTCTGGGTTAGGTGTAACGATCTTTACATCGAAAACTCAAGAGAATCCTAGCCGACCGTTCTTCCGTTGTCTAAGCAAAAGAGGTGCATCAAGCAAGAGAGATGTAAGTAGCTATTGGTGGTTTATGTTGTTTAAGTGTGTATTGGTAGCTAATGTTGTTTGAATATACAAAATGGTCACTTGTTTAAGTGGGTCGAGGATGTTGTGTATGAAGAGGTAGAAGATGCATTGCCAAAACTAGGAATCATGGCAAATGAGATTGTGAAAGCCAAATCCGAGGTTAATGAGGTCAATGTTGCAGTCGATTCATCATCCCTCTTTCGTTTGGGACGATGCTTACTCTTCTTCCTCGGTGCCATCTGCCGACCTAGATACGAGAGAAAGCTTCAAATTCGAAGAAGTAGAGAGAAAATCGCAAAGGAAGAGAGAAATAGATTTAGGGTTTGTGATTTGGGGATTTTCTGGGAATTGGAATCGATTAATCGATTTGGGGGTTTCTTTGATTGAAAACGACGTCGTTTCAATAATTAACGGACATATTAAACAGACACATAACAACGTTTGATTGCTCCGTTTGGCTAGTTAATGATGTGTCTCATTAAAATATGTGATTAAAATGATATTTTTTCATTAAATTTTCCAATTCATGCCAATTTCCCTGGAAAAAAAAACAAAAACAAAAACAAATAGAATTTGTTGTTTACTTCAGCTGGGGTTTTTCTTTTTTCTTAATTTCCAAGAATCGTCTCTTCTCTCTATTTCTCCAATTCCCAAATATCAACAAGAAGAAGCAGCAACGATGTGGATTGAGATCATCTGCGGTCTCGTCATCTACAAACTCGTCCGTCGTTTCTTCTACGACGACGAATTCTCCGACGTCGAGACTTCCGATTCCACTGCTCTCTTCTCCGTTGCTCACAGGTTCCCAATTTCCCCATCCTCCATCTTCGATTCTCGATTTACCTATAGAGATTTCACTGAACTTGATTTTGATTTCCATTGAATCGCAGACTTGAGAAACTTTATGGTGGAAAAGCTTATGTAGGACTTCGAATTCCAGATGCCGACACTGCTTCTAGACAGGATATCGATGTTGTTCTTGTTACTAAAGGAGAAATTGTAGTGATTGCTGTGAAGAATCTATCGGGGATTGTTACGGTAACTAGTGATGGTAGCTGGGTTTGTGAAGGTGGCAAGCATCATACCACTGAGTCTTTCCCTGATCCTGTGAGTTTTGTTTGATTCTTTGTGCAATGATTACACAATGCTTCTAGTGATTAGATTGTCGTTGTTGTGTTTCTGAGTGATTCTCTATGATTTGATGTTTTAGATTGATAAGGATTCATGAAAAATCCGAGTTATATTGGAACTCTAGTACTATTCTTGTTGCATAATTATGTCACTGTGAGGAAATATCACTGATTCCTTTTGGAGGCTTGTAGAGCTGTTATGTTTAATGTTTTGGATACAGTGAATTGGAAGTTATTAAAGCTTTGAACTACGAAATGGATACGTTCATTTCATGTAAGGTCTTCTTCGGACAACATAACTGTAAATGTGTGTGTTTTGGCAAAGTACAGAGTATGGCTGTCACTTGATTAGATTATGAAACATTTTATGACTGCTGGTGAAACAGTTGATTCTTGTTAATTGTACGAATGTGCTTGGTTATCCTTTCTTTTCTCCTGAGTCGTTCTTACACTTTCCGTTTCAAGTTTCTTGAGTTTTCTTGACTTAGCAAAGTTGACTTGCATCTTGCACCTATGCAATTTTGTTTCTAACTAATAGATGTGTGTTTTCTCAGCTGGCGGAGGTCAAGAAACAAGCTTCAGTTCTTGAATCATATCTTGAGCAGAGGGGAGTTACTTTACTAGAAGGAAATCTATCTTGCAAAGTTGTCATTCCCAATCCAAGTTTTCGGTATGTATCGTTATCCTTGCTACCGTCGGTTTCTTCATGTTTGGAAGAGCTAGACAAGAAAACAATCAATTTTAAGTAGAGGCATCTTATAGTGCGTGCCTGGGCGTGGCTATCTTAGTCTGTGAAGACATTCTTTATTTTCCTAGCCGTGCATAAACGTATGTTTTTTTTTTGTCTTTCAGTACAATTCATGCATTCCCGAGTGAGGTAATTACCTATGAAGATTGGCAACAGCTGAAACCAGCATCAAGAAGTAAAATTTCTGGTTGGGTTAAAGGCGCATTCAGCACAGGAAAAGAGATGCAGGAATCATCGCATCAAAAACTTAATTTCATCCTTGGCACAGCACCAACGTGGGATAGGTCATACATTTCATCTTTATTGACATTCAATTTAAATATTGTCCGAGTTGGTAAGAGTTTTGGGTCCTCTTGAACCCTCAATGAAGTAGTTGTGTTCAAAGAGTTTTCATTTGAAGTTGATTATGCTGCAGAGTGGAGCTTAAAAGTAGCAAAATTGTGTTAGGGGAATTCCTTGAGTTTAAAGGAAAGCAGGAAGATACCCTGGCTTTAAGAAATATCAAGAGATCAAAAGTCGATCATGTCTCTATTCAGAAAACAAGCATGTTTGGATTAGGTAATTTCTCTTTAGACCTTCATTATTTGTTTACGTTCGCGATTGTGTTTACATTGACAAATGAGCTATGTAATTAATTAAAAAATGATTTGGGTTGCAGCTCCTTCGAGGTTGCAGGTTCTGTATTCGTATAGGGACTACAGAAGTGAAGGCAGTTCAGGGGCAGAGTCGAAAGAAGTGACCGTCCGGTCAAGCACTGAGGTTTTGTTTCAGCCACGAGACTCCACAAAGATGAAGAAATTCAAGCTATCGTCGCTCGTCTCCATTTCACTAAGTGCCTAACTGTGAAGTGAGCTTATTAGTATGCAGCAGAGGGAAGTTGTTTATGGTCTACTATGTGAATGACATTGTCTATGACTGAGCTTACTATTATTCACAAGAGTACCAACCTTCTTATGGAAATGTTTTCTTCTTATATTACATGCTACAAAGCCTTACATGAAAACGTTTCATATTTGGAAACTTCGTGGTGTTTAGAATAACAAGAAAAAACAACAAATCTTCTTAATAAGCAACTCTGCTTCTATACAGAATCTTGCAGATAATGAATGAAATGTTCAATATTTGCAGTACGCTAAAACAACTTCAAGAAACAGAGAAAACGACAATAAGAGAACAAAGATCAAAGGGCAGTGTCTAATGTCATAGACAATTCATAGACAATCTAAATCTTGATTTGTAGCCATGTGGAAGCATAGATCAAATATATAGAGCTATGCTCGTAAGAAATTTTAAGAAGATGAATATAAACCAAGAAAAGCCCAGTTGCAAAGAGATCATCTTCCTCTACTTTTGACTGCTGCTGCTTGTACTCTTCTTTTTAAGCAGGTTTCCGAATTTCCGGAGCAAAGGTTTCTTCTTCTTCATATGTTGTTCCTTTAAGAGCAGATTTCCGGAATCTTCAGTGTGGTCTGTTGAATAAAAGCCATTGCTGTACTGATCCATGTTCTCACTGCCTTCTGCTTTCGACTCAACTTCCTCTTCCACAGAGTCGAGTTCGGTCTCTCTCTCTGGAGATACTTCACTTTTTTCTATCTTGTAGCTATCCCACATCTTGAATTCAGACTCCACACGGTCTTTCTCTACATTCCCTTCTCCTTCAGTTCCGTGAGCTACCCTATGAGTTGCTGCTCTTTCACCCATCAAATGTTTATCAATTGCTTCCATTGGACTTTCTTGTATCATATGCTCTCTGCTTCTGTGTTGAAAAGGATCAGTCTTTGCCTTTTCCTCTCCAATACTAGGCCCATTTACTTCCGAAAACTGAACTAAGTCATAATCTTTTCCGATGCTGGTGTGCTCACCGTTTCCAAGCTTTGATGATTCTTCCATTTTCTCAAGGGCGGCAGCTTCCCTGCCTTTTAGCTCAGTTTCTTTTTCAAGTAAACTCTCTTTCAGCTTCGACAACTCCTCTATTTTCTTTGCTGCTAAAGCATCCTGCGTTTTAAGCTCTTGGTTTTCTTGAGTAACTCTTTGAAACTCACTTTCCTTTTCAAGCCAACTTTGCTCAAGATGTAACAACTCATCAATCTTTTTCAAAGACGAAGCCTCCTTGGCCTTAAGCTCCTCGTTTTCATGAAAGACACCCTGCAGTTCGTTCTGCTTATCGATCAAACTCTGTTTAAGATTTGTCAACTCTTCAATCCTCTGGAGGGACAAGGCTGCTTCAGCCTTGAGCTTCTCATTTTCAACATTTGCAGCCTGCAGCTCCTTTTCCTTGTGAATCAAACTTTGTTTCAGATCTGACAGCTCGTCTATCGTCTTTAGTGATGAAACCTGCTTGGACTTCAGTTCCTCATTCTCGCAGACGACAGCCTGCAACTCATTCTCTTTAACGAGCAAACTTGCATTAAAATTTGATAACTCTTCTATCTTCTTTTGGGCAACAGAGTCCTTGGATCTAAGGTCCTCAATCTCCACGACCATACCATGCAACTCATTTTCTTTATTAAGAAGATCCTCTTGCACCTTTGACAACTCCTCAATCTTCTTAAGATAAGCAGCCTCCCTTTCTTTGAGCTCCTCTTTTTCATCAATAGAACTCTGGAGTTTGGTTTCTTGATCAGATAAGATTTCGTGCAACTTTGACAACTCCTCAATCTTTTTAAGATAAGCAGTCTCTCTTTCTTTCAATTCTTCATTTTCCTGAACAACTGTTTGCAATTTGCACGCTTTATCAACTAAGCCTTCATTCAATTCTGACAACTCCTCTGTCTTCCTAAGTAATGTAGCCTCTCTTTCTCTGAGCTCCTTACTTTCTTCAGATATTTTCTGCAGATTGGTTACGTTATCAGCCAAGCTCCCATTCGCTGTTGACAACTCCTCAATCTTCTTAAGGTAAGCAGCCTCCCTTTCTTTGAGATCCTTACTTTCTTGAGCAATGTTTTGCATATTGGATACATTATCAACCAAGTTCTCATTTTCCTTTGACAACTCCTCAATCTTCTTCAAATGAGCAGCCTCCCTTCCTCGGAGCTCCTCAGCCTCTTGATCAATGTGCTGCAGTTTGGTCTCTTTATCAATCAAGCTCTCATTTGCAACTGACAACTCCTCAATCTTCTTAAGATAAGCAACCTCCCTTTCTTTGAGATGCTTACTTTCTTGAACAATGCTTTGTAGATCTGTTACGTTATCAACCAGGCTCTCATTTGCTACTGATAACTCCTCAATCTTCTTAAGATAACCCGCTTCCTTTTCTTTGAGATCCTCACTTTCTTGAATAATGCTCTGCAATTTGGTTGCTTCATCAACCAAGCTTCCATTCGCCATTGACAACTCCTCAATCTGCTTCTTATGAACAGCCTCCCTTCCTTTCAGCTCCTCAGCTTCTTGAGTAATGCTCTGCAGCTTGGTTTCTTTATCAACCAAGCTTTCCTTTACCTTTGACAACTCTTCAATTTTCTCAAGTACAGAACCTTCCCATTCTCTAAGGCTGCTGTTTTCACCAATGATATTCTTTAGCTCTTCTTCTTTGTCCAACAAGCTCTCTTTCAGTTTCATGCTTTCAGCTTTTGCTTCTCCAAGTGTTTCCTGTAGATACTTTATCTCCCCCTCAGCTTCTTTGAGATTATTTTTAAGATTGGCTTCTTCCTCCTTCCTAGCACGTGCATCTTCTTCGCTCTCTTTGAGCAAATTCATCAGCCTGCTTACTTCTACCCGAGAAGACGAATTTTCTTCTTCTGATTTCCTCACACAACCCATCAGATCAAGTTCTTTCTGTTCCCACCCAGCCTTAGAGTTCTTGAACTCGTTCTGGATGCTATCTACAGTACTTTTCAGACTATCAATTTCATTTCTAGCATCCTCAAGCATTTTCTCATACTTTTCATTTGTCTCTTTTGAAGCCACCTTCAAACTGTCAACCTGGGATTCAAAGTTCTTGAGCTCCTCTTGACATGCCAAGAACTTCGCTTTCGCTTCACTTGCTTCAGTAGATGCTTCCTGCAAAGCCAATGTCAAGCTCTTCATTTCTTTCTTGCTCTTCTCTTCTTCCATCTTACAGCGTTCCAATTCTATTGAAAGTTCTGTCTTTTCATTCAATAGAGTCTGAATATTTGATGCTGCAGCCTTTTCATTGTCCAAGGCCTTAGTTTTTTCCTCTTGGGAGGTCTCAAGCTCAGCTTTTATTGATTCAAGAAGTTTTTCCATCGTAGATGCTTCTTCTTTTGCGATGCAAACCTGGCGTCCAGATTCCTCAAGATCTGTTCTCTGCGCTTCAATTGTTTTCTCTAGCAACTCAACCTTTTCTTTTTGTGCAGCATTATCTGACTTCGTCTCATGCAGCACATGATTCAATTCATCCAGCTGCTTCATAACCGACTCCATAGACTCTGAAGCAGATGTCTTCGATCTATTTGATTCTTCAACTTGTTTTTCTAGTTCGTGAACCTTGTTCTTCCATTCTTCTGCTAAGCTATTAGTACAAGATTCAGCCATTTTAGCAGCTTCAAGATCAACGTTAAGCTGTTCAATTAATCCTTCTTTCTCTTTCACACTACCCTCAAGGATACTAACTTTGTCAAGCTCCCCTCTCAACATTTCAATCTCAGACTTCAGCTTAGACACTATCTCATTACCTTCAATAGCTTCTTTTTCTTCCTTTGAACCGAGCAATGCCTTTAACCGGCCTAATTCAGAAGAAAGAATCTCAGCCTTCTCAGCATGGATTTCAGCAATCTTCGTCGCTTCCTCAGCATGGCTTAGCGCCTTGTTTTTAGCATCAGCGGTCATTGACAATTCATGTTTTACCCTCTGGAGTTCTTCTGTGGTAGAGAGGAGAGCTGAGATGTCCAACGCATGCTGGCTTCTAATAGACTCTAGCTCGTTTCTCGAAGTTACGTCCTTGTTCTGAAAAGCTTCAAGTCCAGCCTGTTCCAGTTCAACAGCTCGGAATTTCTCAACCTCGAAACTCTCCTCAGCTCGTTTCTGAGCTGCCAATGCTTCTCTGAGTTTCTCATTGGCTTCTTCTACAAGTTTTTCGGATTCTTTAAGATCATCTATAGCTTTAGCTTTATCTTTCTTGAGCAATTCTATTTGCTCGTCAGCTTTCTTTAAATCCTCCTGAATTTGATTCAACTGAGTCTGCAGCTCCGTTCCTTTTACCAACCGTGAATGCACTTTCTGAAAATGCCAACAAGTTTAACAATCAATTAAGAGGTGAAGAATATGGTAATCATCAATATCTTTCATAGCTAATAAAAACCATAAAAGAAAGATTCATGAATCAGTTAGAGAGTTGTCAGTAACTTGCCTCAGGTGTAGGAATCCGAGAAGGCCGCCGGTCAGGAGTAGGCTTTGAGTTAACTGTTGGAGGAGAACGATCAAGCGAAAGACGAGTAGTTGGCACCGGGGAAGCCGAATTGCCATCAGATTTAGAAGCAGAGAGTTTACTCAGTCGAGGAGGTGGTGGTGATGGTTTACTACGAGGAGTCTCCATCAAACCAGTTCTACAGTAAACAGAACTTATAAGATCAATACAATGTTACATTAACATCAATGAAAAGCTTTTAAATTTATGGATCTTACATTTTTACCTAAACAAGAGTAATAAAGTTCCTAAAAATCACAACTTTTACCAGACTAAATCAACTAAGTACCCAAAAATCACAACATTTACCAGACTAAATCAATTAAGTTCCCAAAATCACAACATTTACTAGACTAAATCAACTACATTCCAAGTAAATTAGAATTAAAATGATCAACTCAACAATTCATCACAAGAAACAGATCCAATTGTCAAATCAAGAATCATCTCAGATCCAATTGTAATAAAAGTAGAAGAAAGAGTAAAAGTACTCACTTGGTTCTAGATGCCATTGTTGCAAGAAAAGAGCTTCAAAGAAAAGAGAAATTGAATTGACAAAAAAAGAATAATAAATGCAGCTAAATTCTCAGCATTGCTGCGAGAAGTCAGATCGATTTCAGGGTCTACTTCTTCTTCAGGACTAGGAAAAACACAAAGTCTTCAACTTTCGATTCAGGGTCTTCTTACAAGAACGCAAAGTCTTCAACTTTAGCAAAAGAATGGTAGGAGAGACTAATAATGAGTAATGGGTTGCGCTGTCTCCATAGTGGTCACCCTCTCTCTCCTTTCTTTTTCTCACCGCTTTTACTTTTTTTTTTTTTTCTACACTAATATATTATGATGACAAAAGAAAAAAAAGAAGAATAATAAAAGCTGTGAGTGAAGTGGACCAAAACAAGTTGGCTTTATTTAATAATGGAGGTGAGAATCAATCTCTCTAACGATCTGATTTAAGACAAGAGAGTTTGAGATCTTGGAGTTGTGTCATGTGGACTTCATGTGCTCTAATCAATCATGTTGATTTTTGTTTCTCTGTTAATGAGATCTGATAAAACTTTAGTTTAAACTTTTAATTCAGTTAATTTATTAACATAATTACAATTAATCCACATGATTTCAAAAGTTTTATCTATTTCTGTTTGAGTATCTAATTTTAGAAAATAAGAAAATATAGGAGAAAATAATTGGTTTAATCAACAATGTGTTTAGAGATTTATACAGAAGCAAATGCAGCCAATAGCACCAATCAAGTCCTTTCACATGCACAGTGTGAGTTTCTCAAAACGAGATAAGTCTACCAACGAGGCAACGACAATTTCGTAAAAATGAAATATTATGAGGCAAATTCACATATAAAGTCACACTGAATAGCCTAAAAAACAATTTGGTCTTTCTGATTATAAGTTGATGTAATGCTTCCGTGATAAACGACACCACCCCATTGTTTACAAGCAGACATCAGTGATTTTCGATAACCCGGTTTATAGTTGCGAAAATATCAAAAGAAATTGAAAGAATTTTCTAGTAATTATTAAATCTTTTTTGGTATGTTAAATTAAATTTCTACTTGTCTGTTACAAAACATTAAAAACTGTAAAAAAAACTGATCATATTTCTTTTATATCGGTTTTGGACCCCAAAATAGTAGGAACGATTTTGATTATATGTATGTCCAATTTTCAAAATAAGTAGAAAAAAACCACTTAAAACCTCATGATAAGTAGAAAAAAATTAAACCACATCAAAATTATTATTTTTTATTTTTATTGGTAGGGTAAAAAGAATTTAAGATCTAAATAATTTGTTATATAGTTTTGATATCAAACTGTATTTTTCTAAAGTTAAGTTCTAAATATTTTTTAAACTTGAAAATATCAAAATACCAAAACGAATGATTTGTACGTCTACCGAGTTTTCTTTTATTCCTCTGCACCACATTTAATGCAATTGTCAACCTCATGTCAATCTGTTAAACTACAATGTAGAGAATTTTAACAATAAATAAATGGGGCTTTTGCAAAAATACCTCTTTTTCAATGCCACTTTTACAAAATGTTTCTTTTTTAAAACCTTATAAAAAATGCTCCTAAAAAATAACATTATTAAAACATACACAAATAAGTATCTAAAATCTTATAAATACTTTAAAATATCTTGTAAAAACCTTTTTCAAAACCTTTAAAAACCTTTAAAATATCTTGTAAAACCTTTAAAATATCTTGTAAAACTTTTGAAAAATCTTTAAAAACCTTTAAAATATCTTGTAAAACCTTTAAAAATACCTTATAAAATCTTATAAATACTTGGATCGAGTTTTCAAGTAATAGTTACCATCCATAAGTACCTTATAAACCTAATAAAATTTTATAAATTTTTCATATTTAAAAAGGGGCATTTTTTAAAATGGACATCTAAAATGGGCATTTTTGAAAAGTGGCACACCAAAAAGGGGTATTTTTAACAATTTCCCTAAATAAATAATGATTGATATTCAGTTACTCCATTTTATTCACTTGTAGATTATTTTATAAAATAAATCATAAAATTTCATATTTACATGTAGTGTTAAGTGGTACACACAATATAGATAAATAGTTTTTTATAAACATTTTGGTACCATGCATTTTACTATCTCTAGAATCATAGTAAAATCATAGTAAAAGATACAAATTCCGCGAATCAAAGCTACGAATCGTAGCCTATGATAGTACAAATCAAAGAGATACATATTCCGCGAATCAAATCAAATAAAACAGATCCAAAGCAAGCAAAACACTACACAAAACGCTAAACGCGAGCAATGAAGCAAATCTATGAAGAAACAGACCTAAACGAATGACGTAAAAAAAGGAGAAAAAGAGAGTCTGCCGCATAAGAAATTTGAATTGTGTGGTCTTTCTGATTGTAGGTTGATGTGATGCTTTTGTGATTAACCACATCACTCCATTGTCTACAAGGAGACATCAATGATCTACGTTATACAAGTATTTAGTTGCGAAAATATCAAAAAAAAAAATTGGTAATCATTAAACCTTTTTGATATGTTATATTAAATTTCTACAAGTCGGTCACTAGAAACTGTAAAAAAAATAACCATATTTATTCTAATCTGTTTTGGACTGCGAAATAGTAAAAACCTTTGATTATATACATGTCCAATTTTCAAAATAAATAGAAAAAGCCACCTAAAACCTCATGATAAGTAGGAAAAAAATAAACCACATCAAAATTATTATATTTATTTTTGTTGGTACTGTAAAAAAATTTAAGATCTATGATTTTTTTTGTAAATTTTGGAGTTAGAGATATGTTTTCATGACATTTGGCTATGTAAGAAAATTTTCTTAACATTATAATCCTATAAACTCACCCCCGGAATTCCATGTATAACTCACCATGTCTTTTTGTTCAACACTTGATTGACCAACATATTTTGTACACTTTTTCTAATAATAATTAGTTATTCCGGCATATTCAACAAAAATGCAAAATAAAAATGTATTCTCTATATAACTCCGCTGGAGAAAGTGCATGAATTATAGAATGTCTATAGCAAATTTGTGTGTGAGCAATGTTATCTAAAGAGTAAAAATTGTGGCATTAAAATAGAAGAAATTATAATGACATCATATATATATATATATGAAATACATGCATTCGTTTTGTCGTCATATTTAGCACATATATCTAAAACCATTTCTCTATAACAAGACAACCTTTTCTTCTTTTTCTTTGGCATCGGATAATCAATCTAAAAAATATTATAACTCAAAATTATGACAATTAACAAAATCCTACAAGTGCATAACACAAACAAATTGTTCAAATCATAAAAGTTAAAAACTTAAATTTAATAAAATCAACATTTTTTTAAATAATAACATTATGAAAAAGACTTTGACGATTTATATTTATTTCTAATAACTTTCAAATTTCATGATGAATATATATGCCTTAATATATAGCCTTGAATGTGTTTCACCAAAAGTCGACACATGAAAATTTATAAGTAATAGGATTTCGGCATGTATTAGTTAATCGGTTATGAGTGAATAAGGTAGTGGGGTATTCATCAAAGTGGTGAGTGAAATATTACATGCCAAAAAAAAATCTGGCAACGTTTTTCTATTGAGTTCAAATGAAAATAAATTTAGTCTGAATTCTGTTACACAATACAAATATTTGTCAAGATTTCGATGGTTACATCCGGGATGGAGGTGATTAGGTTCACAAAATTTTGATGTTTTATAGACGGTTCATAGAGAAAACAACATCTTTTTCAGGAATTTGTTTTTGGGCAAAATCTTATTTCAAAACTAGGATAGTGTTATTACAAAATAAATGTCGAAGTGCCGAATGTCAAAACTAGGAATTTGTTTTTGGGCATGTAATCAAATTCAAATTCATCAATTTCAAATTCATCAATTTCATCAAGAGACTCTTACACATATCCATGGATGCACCAAACCAGACATAATCAAGCAAATTCATTAATGATATGAATTGCCTTATTTGGAACCAAATGCCTTAAATCTCCTTTGGCTTTTACCCAAACTTGTTGGGTACGAAATGGAGACTCTCTACACCTTCGAGAAGGTTCAAGAGTTCACAATTTCATGTCCAAGCTATTTAGATACAAGGAACTTTCATGTTTTCTTCATTTGATCCAAAATCAAAAAATAAATGCAATATCAATCAAAACTTTGATTGATATATTCTTTTTGTTAATTCCTTTTGTAAAAGTCTATATAGGCTCTATATAAGCTCACTACTACTATTGTAAACCTCACCAATCCTTTTTTTTTTATAATAAACTTTGAGTTTTCGTACAAAAATGTGTCTTTTTGTTTTGTTCTGCTTGTGCGGGAATTCTCCTAGAAAGTCAACATAATGGCAACATAATCACCATCTAATAGAGTCCAATTCTACATTCATCCCCTCCGTTCAAGCCGTATGCCTTGATCGTCATTTGATCATAAGTGTTAGACTATAGGAATATAGAATATTTCATTTATGTCGATAATGTCAAATATGTAAACTATAGCCTTGGAGGCTACTCCTCTTGAAACTATATAAGGGTTGCCTCACTAATAGAACATAGACGTTTTGTGATAACTTATCTAATTTGGTGGATAAGAAATATTATATATTCCTATAGTCTAACAATAAGTTTGGTGGATTCCAATCTTATATCAGTATTACCCCACTACATTGCGACGGGCAGCAGTGATGTGGGCGATGAGATGCCCTGATCGACGTTATTTTCATCACAGACTGCTTTAAATTGGTGATGATGGTGTCTACACCAACATAATGACAAACTTTTGCAACCTATCTAATCTAAGTATAGAAGAGTAAGGAAACGTTTTCATTTTTTTTCTTTAACTTTAGTTTTTCGTAGTGCCACTGTCAAATCAGATAAGTTATCACAAAACGTCTATGTTTTCCCGTATCTTATTTCATAATGTAAACAATGTTACTACGGTTTGACTTTTTTGAGTCTTTCTAATAATATATAAATTGTCAAAAAATACAAATATTTGTCATGTTATATATTATATATCTAACATTAATATGTTGGAATTCAAAGGTTCCTTGAAATAAAAAACGTGAAGACTTATAATTGTGATCAATTTTTAATGTTATAATTTGTGTGTATTTTACATTTAGTTTTATATTATAAATTAAGGAACATTGTTTCTATTTTATGCAAAAAAACCTTTCAACTTATCTATTTTTGCAACTTTACTTTCACTTCAACAAAATGCAAATTAGTCATTAAAAATAGGGGCTTTTGCAAAAATGCCTCT